CCTCGATGTCAGAGTGCATTATCGTACTAATTCATTCATTCCAAATTTAAATATTATTTTTTTAAAACATATGTTAGTTTTTAAATAAAATAAATATCTATTCAATTCTTTATTCAAAAAATTTGTGCAACTAGGTGCGTAGGATTTTTATTATGCATTTCTAATAATCACCGATGTCAGAGTGCATTATCGTTCTATTTGATTCATTCCAAATTTTATATATCAAATTTAAATTTTATTTTTCACAAACATATGTTGACATAAATATCTATTCAATCCTTTATTCAAACAATTTGTGCAATTAGATGCATAGGATTTTAATTATGCAATTCTAATAATCCCCTATGTCAGAGTGCATTATCATTCTATTTGATTCATTCCAAATTTAAATATTATTTTTTAAAAACATAGATTTGTTTTTAAATAAAATAAATATCTATTCAATTCTTTATTCAAAAAATTTGTGCAATTAGATGCATAGGATTTTAATTATGCAATTTTAATAATCCCCGATATCAGAGTGCATTATCGTTCTATTTGATTTATTCCAAATTAAAATATTTTTTATAAACATATGTTAGTTTTTAAATAATATAAATATCAATCAAAACTCAATCCTTTATTCAAACAATTTGTGCAACAAGGTGCATAAGATTTAACATTATGCAATTCCACGTAAAAAATCAATGAAGGGAACAATAACAAAAAAAAAAAAAAAGAAGAAAAAAAATAGAATGTATTGTCGATAGATGTAACACAAACAGCAGCTGGGATTATCGTTTTAACGGTATTATTTTCCTCGAGTGTCTCACAGCTGCGTAAGAGGAATAGGAGGAGTAGGAGGAAGAGGGTGGCTAATCGACGTAGAAAACAAACGGGGGTGGGGTGGGGTGGGGGGTGGGAGGGAAATTGGTGGACCCGGTTGATGATTTCGCGAAAGATAATTGTTACTGTGTTGCGTCGTAGTAATAGATAAGAAGGTTAACTCGTTAACTTGTTTTCTACAGATTATTTTATTACAAATGTTTGTCATTTCATATATTTGGTGGTGCACTTCTGACTATCTTTGCATATCATCATTATCATCATCGTCATCGTTATCATCATCATCATCATCATCATCGTGTGTAGGTGCTCAAGCACGTTGCCGATTATGTTAAACCAGTTTTGCCTTATATACCACTGATTATACATGAGTGTGTGTAACCCAACGATCGTTTCGTCTTTTGAACACGTGTGCTCTTATCAAAGTTCATTTTTCTTTTGGTTGTACGATAACACCACGAGCTTCTAGCACTCGTCCTCGTACTTGCGTACCCAATCATATTTCCGTTCCATTATTTTTCTCTTTTTCTTTTTCTTTTTTTTTGCAATAATACCCAGTTGCACATTTGCGTTTTACTATTATTATATACATTTATATAAATATATAAATGCATTCTTAAGTTTCTAAGTTGATGATAAAATACAGGATGGAAGTAAGAGGAAACGACCAGTGATATCGTAAATGACGTTCGATTAACTTCAAAGAACTTTGTTATTTTTGTTTTTTCTTTTTTTTTCTTTTTTTTTTTTTCTTGTCGATACACGTATGTAAGTATTACGTGCAAACATAGCAAGGAAATTCAGGGCAACGCACCTATGAAACACCTGCGTTACCACGTCTCGCTCGAAATCACAGGTTAATGAATTTTCATTGAACATCCCATCACTATATACCTAGCATACCATAAAAATACATTTATTTTATATGTTTTTTTTTAATTTAATTTTTTTTTCTTCTTTTTTTTAGGTTTTTGATGCTTCATTTTTTTTTTAAATAAATAATACTATACGCCGTAGTCCAATAAATAATTGCATATTTGTAATATTTCTTTTAAAATATTTCTTTATCATTGGAATATTAATTTATTTATTGACATAGAAATAATTTAATTTATTGTAAAATAAATATTTGTATAAAGTGATACCATCTCACGTTTGGTGATCAAATGAAAATATGTAGTAGTCAATAAAAGTAGTTTCCTGTTTTATCAATAAGTAAAATAGTGAATTTCTTCATTACCGGCCTTTATAGGTAACGATAGGTTTCAAAGAAAATAGGTGGAATTTCAAACTGTAAAAGAACGATGTTGGTAACATACTAAAAATAAATTACCTTCAGAAATGTTTATCTTTGTCTCATAAAAGATCCAATTAGGGATGTGCTCAATATTATTCTTTTTTATATAATTGCAATCAATTAGGTTGCCTATTTTGAAAGTGGTCTATCTTCATTTTCAAAAAAAATCGAATTAGTTACCGTAATAGTTACATTTTTACATGATCTTTTCATTCGGAAGCAATTTCCCACATAACATAAAAACTTTCTAAAAACTTCTTAAAACATTTCTTGGAAAGCTTTAAACCTTTTTAAAAAGGTTTCTAAAAAATCTTTCTACAAGGGGAAAATGTCCGCGTTAAGAGACTTGCAAAAGCATCTATCAGTAAAATATTTTAGAAATGTTTTTAAAATATTTTTCTAAAATCTTTTTTATGAATCTTTTTCAAAATATCTTAGAATGATGTCTGCAAGGTTTCTAAAAGATTTTTTGGAAATATTTTACGAAACTTTCGTTGAAAGAATTCAAAATTTATCGTGTTATGTGTGAGTTGTTACAAATATACTTAAAATCATGAAGATATTGTAACACGAAAATTTGCCGATTAATCAAAATGGTGAACAGTTTATTTTGAAAGTGGCTTATCTCCATTCGTTATTTGAGCCGTTTATTTTGAAAGTGGCCTAAGTCCATTTTCCAAAAAAATCGAGTTAGTTACCGTAATAGTTACATTTTTACATGATCTTTTTATTCTGAAGCAATTTGTTACAAATATAATTAAAATTATGAAGATATTGTAACACGAAAATTTGCCGATCAACCAAAATGGTAAAAAGTTTATTTTCAAAGTGGCCTAACTCCATTTGTCATTTATTATTTTTCGGTTGCACATGGTTATTGTACAACTTTATGTTATGTATCAATAAAAAATTTGATTTTGCATATATTCCAAGTAAATACGATAATATTTTGTTATAAATAAATTGAGATAAAAAGATTTTGTAGGAACGCAATTTTGAAAATGATCAAGAATTCTGATGAAGAATCAATAAACTGTATAAAAATATTTTTTATACGTTTTTTTTTAGAAATAAACCGTATCAAATTTTCTATAAAACATCAATGATTGAGAATGAAAATTTAAAAGTCCTGAATTTATTACCACGTCAGAGTAGACCAAGAAAGTTCGAAAATATTGTATTGACACCAGTATATAAAATATCAGACAAATTACAACAGCAATATTTAAGGACATAATTGACCTATTACGATTATATATCACCGGAACATCATAATTTCTTTAAATCCCTTTCACACTCACAAAATGTAGATGAGTAGTAAATTGTTTTGTAGGTTATATGTGTAATTTTGTACATTATGTAGTTAAAAAATGTTTTCAATCGCATAAATTATGTTCCTGAAGTGTTTTAAAGATATGTAAAATAAATTGAGTATTGTTTTTTTCAATTTGAAGCATCTTAAATTATGTTGAATGAAGTTAGGTTCCTTCGAAATTTTATAATAAATGAAATTGTTGATTTTGACAATGGCCTAACTCCATTGGTGGTTAGAAAACGCATATTATTCGCTTAATAATAGCCACTAATTTAATAGGAAATATAAATTTAAAGCTTTTAGATACACTTAAACAGTATAACTCATTAGTATCTATTTTGAATTGCAATGACACTCAAAAACCCTTCAATATCTCGATTCGAACATAAATGGAGATGGGCCATATTCAAAATAGACGGCCCAATTATACTATTTTTTATTACAACAATGTTTTATAAAATTGTTTAAAACTAAAAGAAAAAAAAACTATGCATCACACCATGCATTTAAAATAATTAATCGCATATCCTATATATATATATAAAGATACTTAATATAAATTAATATAAATAATATAAATAATATTATATAAATATAAATAATATATTAAATTTAATTAATATATAAATAATATTATATATATTATAAATAATTTAAATAATATTATATATAAATATAAATATAATATTAAATTTAATTAATATATAAATAATATTATATAATATAAATAAAATTAAATATAATTAATATTAATTATATACTTATTATATTAATTATAAATTAATATTAATTATATACTTATTATATTATTTGTAAACTAATATTAATTATATACTTATTATATTATTTATAAATTAATATTAATTATATACTATACTTAATATAAATAATATTAAATTGAATGTTAATCAAAAAATGTGCCTGTTATACAAAAGTGAGAATGATCATTTTTTTTTAGGGGGTAAAGTGGGGTGTGTGGGCGGTTTGTTGACGCGCAAAGATGTCAAGTGATACCCCGACAGTTTTGTTCGATTTGTCCTAGAAATAGGATATATTATTTTAGCATTAGGTTTATACAAAGGTTCTTCGTAATGTTTATTTAACTTTAGAATCCTCTTTCCTTCTTACGTTACCGTATCCTTCTTTTAGTTTCCGGATATATATATATATATCTATATAGGCTCTCTCATGCAAAGGACAGTTATTTAACTATATATTTATTTTTTCAAAGTACACATAAGAAACAAATAAAATAGATTTTTCAAATTGATAAAGATACTTTATTCGACTAGTTCAAATGCTTTGGTTACATTTACAATAATAATCATTAATTAATTAAAATTAATATACGTAATAAATAATAAAGAGAGAAATAGAAAGATAGAAATAGAAAAAAGAACATACTTTGGTATAAATAGATCATAAATTGCTCTTCAAAATATTCTTCAACATCATACATATTATATTTATTTTTTTTCATGATGCGTAAATTGTTTTTTTTTTTTTTTCTAAGGCACGTTTTCATTTATCGACTAAATATTTCGAATCAGTCGTTGGAAAATATTCAAAAGGATTAGAAATAGGATAACTGTGTTTCATGATTATGGCGTATTGAAGTATTTTGATGATGTCCACCATGATGAAAGCCTTGAATATCGTTGTTACTTCCTTGCTGTCCCCGATACTGATTAGAACTGGCAGAAGTCGAGGATGACATGTTACAACTGTTGTTCATCAACATCGAAGTGTTTGTTCCTTGGATAGCAAATGGCCATGACTGTTAAGTATAACAAAGAATTTCATTATTTGAAAAAGATTATTCGCGCGAATTTCATTGAAAATATAAAAATAATCGTGACGTTAATTTTTTTTTCTTCTTTTTTTTAAATAAAACTGTGTTTATTAATAAGAAGATAAAAAGAAAAAAAAGATGCGTTCTGTGTGCTAAAACTGTTTTATTCCATATAATAAAACAAACATTATTCTTCAAACAACGGAACAAAGTTAGAATTAACGGCAGTAAAGGGTAAGTGGGAGGGTTTTTAAAGTGATTCGTTCCACCTGGAGAGACATAAACAGAGAGAGGATGACTTAGAATACGACGTTTGCCGTCGCGACGCCGAATGGATCCACCTGGTGTGTCTAAACGTATTATTGTATTGGATAATTATAATGATACGAAAAAAAAAATACTGCAATAATTCGTTTTAAATATAATCTATCATTGGTATAATAATAATAATAATAATAATAATAATAATAATAATAATAATAATAATAATAATAATGAATGTTTAGTGTAAATTAGCAAAGTAGATTGAATTATAATTAATAAAAAAATATCTAAAAATTGTTGTAGAATTTAGAAAAATGTGATGGTGGAACCTACCAAAGTCAAAGATAACGATCTCGTTGTTTCTGGATGAGGATCTCCCTCATCTCTAAGAATGGCACGAAGATGAGCGATGTATGTTGCAGCAAGACGTAGAGTATCCAATTTACTTAGTTTCGTATCAAAAGGTACCCAAGGTAATCGACTCTTCAATCTAACAAATGCTTTTGATAACACACGCATTCTTGCACGTTCACGAGCATTAGCGGCATTTCTTGGTGCACGATTATCCAAATCTTCTTTGCTAAATTTTTCTTCAGAGGTGAATTCATCTTCGTCGACACATTCCAACGAAGCTGGTGTTGAAGCTCGACGTTTCCGTGGCATTTTATATTCAATTATGATGACAAGTGTTTTTTTTTATTGAAGTTTTTTGAAATATCTGCAAAATTTGATTGTTGTTGGTTTTGTTTTTTTTTTGTTTTGTTTAAAAATGTAAAACTCTTGTGGAAAATACTTAAAACATCAGTTCGACACGCACCACTTACGCGTTACTAATTGTCAGTTTATCTCTTCAAAACGAAGAAGAGATAAAAGCAGGGAGAAACTTGGGAGGAGAGGAAGAAGGCATGTTGGTGGAAAGAGCTACGAGATTTGTGGTATCCTGAAAATCGGGCGGAGCTTTCGAGCTTGTACGAACCTCCTTCTTTTAAGCTTCTTCATATCCTCCTCTTCGCACTTTTCGAATGCTTTCATCCAATAGCTTGGAGGCTGGTGTCATCTGGAGCCACCTGGAACATCCTTCTGTCTTTATAAGTTTGTCTTATTCCGAGTTTTTACTTATTTTCTTTTTATTTCCCCCTTTTTTCTTGCTACTTCCGATAAATGTTGTCTGATTATTTTCTTTTTTTTTATTCTTTTTTTATTTTTTTTTTCGTTAGGTTTAAAATAATACAAAAATTAAATGTCCTAATCAATTTGACAATTGGATATTGAATATTTATTGAATAGAAATTAAAAATTCAATGTTAGATATTATTTATTAGAATTTTTGTTCGTTCGAATTAAATTATAATCACATTCTTTTTCTGTGAGAATTTTTTGGACGACATGAATAATTTTGTTCTTCGAACGAAAAAAAAAAAAAAAAGTCGTCACATAACGTTAATCCTCTTAAAATCCTCGTTGACTGGCAGTAGTTAATCGTTTCGTTGGAAAGTAGGATTTGAAATGGATTCTGTAATATGAGAATTACAGTGAACCCACCCCCCAGTGAACTTTGTTAACGCGTCTTGGAAAGGAATAAATTATTGCTCAACAAATTAGTGAATAATCCCTTTGCAATTTGAAACGTCTTGACCTTTTTTCGGTATGTAATCGTACAACCACATTCTAATTTTTATATTATATATATATATATATATAGGATGTCTCATAAACATATATTTTTTTAATATTATACCTGGTGATAACAGGTAAAAGAAATACATTAGAGTATATCATTATGCATAGAAAAAAATTTTATAATAATAATTAATATGTTGATAAGATGTAACAATAATATTTTTATACATTTGTAGTCCACCATTTATAATTTTTTAAATAATACTTTTTAAAATTGTAATTACTTTTTATAATTTTACGTTGCATTAATTTGTAATTATTTAACAAAAATATTTTGAGAAATCTGTATTACCGACTGTAAATTAGTTGCAGCCATCTAGCGATAATAATTATTACTTTATCTTATCGACTGGTAAAATATATTTTATTGTAAATGTATTTTTTTATGGGCTACTAGAAATGTACAAAATTTGACAAAAAAGATCTGAGGTTTACACTTCTGAGCCTCTCCTGGTTAGCATATTTTCAATATTAAAGATTAATTTTAATTTGTTGAATTCTAACCTATCATGCATCTCTATTAGTTTGACACACATAAGAACTGTTATATGGTATTCACGTTTGAGAACGATCCAATCAGATGGGATATATTTCGTTTATCACGTGACTATTCCTAGTCTTTCGATTGGTCGTTGAGTTGCATTTTCAATAAAAGATGGCAGGCAGTACGTTCGAACATTGTTAGAAATAAGTGCTTAATGTGACTAATAAAACTAATCTACATTATATGATTCTTAACAGTATACGATTTTAATCTTTCTAATTTCTCATTAAAACAATATTTTGTGCTTATTTGTTTAAAACAATTGATCAACGTCTTAATAATAATTGTATTAATATAATAATACGTAAGATTGTAAGAAAAATTAAGTCATACAGTAAGGAACGTTCCCGAACGTTGAATATTGACAAAATATTTTGAATAAATAACTTSTTCTTCTTCTTCTTCAAACAAAATGTAAGTAATCAAAATAATAATTTGTATTTTTATTCATTATTGTATACATATAAAAAAAAAAAGAAAATGTCCAAATATTCACCTAACCTATGATTTTATTGTAGATTGTACATATAGAAATGTCAAAAGAGCATCAACTACCTTCTGATTCTGACGACGATGACGACGAGGATTATGTTCCTGATGGGGCTGACAATGAACCTGTATCTGAAGTTGATTCAGAAGGTGAAGTAGAAAGTGGACCAGAGGATGAAAATGATGAAAATAAAAGAGAAACTGATAAGACAATAAGTAAAAAGAGAAGAAATCAGACTGTTAAAGATAAAAGTACAAAGCGTAAGAAAAGAATAAAAAGAAAATTAAAAGAGACAGATGATTCGAAAGAAGAAGAAGAAGAAGAGGATGAAAACAAATCTGAGACAGCGGAGAAGAAAGAACTTACGGAAGAAGAAGAAAAGAAAAGAGCGGATTCATTATGGGCAGATTTTATGAAAGATACTGGTAAAAAATTGTTTAATATAATTTTCAAACATTGTTTATATATTTTATTCTAATATATTTTTTTGTATAACAGCTGTAGCTTCAAAACCCAAACAACAAAGCCCAATGAATGGACCAAAAGAAAAATCTTCACCTTTAATCAAACCCAAAGTGGAAGAAAAAGTAAAGATAACCAAAATATTTGAATTTGCTGGTGAAGAGGTAAAAATAGAAAAAGAAGTTTCTGTAGATTCAGCAGAAGCTAGACTATCCTTACCATCAGCTGAATATTCAACGAAAACAGATGCCTGTAGTTCTCCTGCAGGAAGAGGAAGAGGAAGAGGAGGAGTTGGAAGAGGAGTTATGAAAAGGGGTGGATTGGGTGGTATTTCATCTGTTTTGGGACAGATTGGAAAGAAAGCTAAGATCAGTACATTGGAAAAATCTAAACTTGATTGGGACAATTACAAAAAGCAGGAAAATATTGAAGAAGAAATTGTAAATCATAACAGAGGAAAGGATGGATATTTGGAGAGACAAGATTTTCTTCAAAGAGCAGATTTACGACAATTTGAGATTGAAAAACAATTGCGTAATACTAGTAGACGCAGTACACGATAAGTCAATGGTACGGTGAGATAAAAAAAAAAATAAAAAGAAAAAACGTGGAACAATAAAAAAAAAGAAGCAAACAATTCCAATATTATTCTCAGCTTGCCATTGTCAGGTACCACAATTATAATAACGCATTTAGCTTAAACAATTACTGTGTTAAAGGGAAATATCGTCGTATTTCGTTGAAACGCATATAAGAAAAAAATTTGCCTCGCTTGGCTTGCCAATCAGCTAAATCAGTTTTATGGTAGCGTGATTGACAAGCGCATATTTTTTAAAAGAGACTGATCATTCCACTGTATCGAGACTAATTCTATATATGTATCGTGTAATAGTTTTAATTTACATTTTTGCGAGCATATGTCTCGTTCTGTCGTATCATTACAGAACTTCGCATCGAAGCAGGATACTTGAAGCTTGATGCTTCTCTTACCAATTATATTCAAGTGATACAAGCTTCAAATTGTTTTACTCAAGTATAATACAATACATACAATAGTTCAACAAGGTAATGTAAATAAGAGTTGGTTGGCACTATAGAAAATATCACAAAATTACCAAGTATCAGAAAGAATGATGCGTGCATATGGTAGAGTATGAACCGTAAATATATATATATATATATATATGGTATTGATTTATTGGACTATCACGATCACTGCCTTTGGCGAGTCATGAAGAGTACGTTATTTTATTTATAGATAATCATTAAATGTGTATATAGAATCACAAGATATGTTATGAAACATAGTTACACTTATCACAGCTAATTTTATGTTTTATATGATCTGCTAAAACGTACAGACTTTATTTGATTTTTTTAATTAATAGGACAAAAGCAGATGAGACGGTCTAATGACATAAGTAGTTTAAATATAGTGGGTAAAAAAAAAAAAACGTATTTATACACCTTCACTAATTCATGATTTTTGGCATCAATTTTCAGAATTTGTCGTTGATATTTTTGTTTTGTTTCATTGATTTCTTTTGTTAATAGCATTACTCGAAGATAACGAGATATGCAATGACTTTTTTACCCACTGCAAAGACATGTTTAGTAACATGGAATTCCGATTAAAACTTAATTTCAATTTTTCATGTAACTCTCAGGTCATAGTTTCTTAAATGTTTTAACTTTGCGATATATTATCGCATCATTATACGTCTAAATACTTTATGTTTGTGGACTTATTAACGTTATGCAATAAAAATAAAGAAGAAACATTCTCTGTCAGCGATCTATCGAAAGTGAAGTTGGAGATAACGTTTGTTCATATACAAAAATTTATACCTCTACACATAATATTGAATCCTTTTGATAAAACACCTTGTAAATATGACTGATGTTGAGATGTCTCTCTAGAAAAATAATAAGTTGAAATAATTAGTATAAAAGATGATTTCATTAAAAAAGAAGAAGAAGAAGAAGAAACCAACCGATTCTTCGCAATGGTGTTGATGCATTGACATTTTTGTTCTAATCCATTAGCTCGGTGATATCTCGCAGTATCTTCTCTCAATGTTTTTTTATCATCTGCAAGAAAAATCGTATTTTTTGAATGATGCGATTTCTTCGATGTTCCTTTATGTTTCTGTAAATGAATTATTCTTTATTCGAGTTGTTAATCTAGATTTTTCTTTTTTCTTTCTTTCAAAATATTATTAGATTTGTATCAAATAATAATTATATTAACGTACATCTCTGTACGTGTTACAACATTTGCAACTTTGTAATAAAGTTTCACGAGATCGTTCATACGCATTCGGTTGTTCATAACTCACAGGAGTCTTCACGCAAAAGCAAAGTTTTCTTAAACAATTTGTTAACCAATTATCTTTTCTTTTTCTCTTACGACGAGAACGATATTTAACTCTTTTTCTCATTTTTTGATTTTGTTCTCTTCTATCGCAACATCTTTTACGTCTACATTCGCAAAAAGATTTGTCTTCTTTTTCCTCATGTATTTGTTTTTTCATTCCGTGTTTTTTCGAACTGTAGGATTTTTAGTAAAGATTATTTATTTGTACAAATTTTGTTAATGATTATAAGATTGTAAATAATTTACCGTTTTATTGGCAATGAATCTGTGGATGATGTGCCAGGTTCTATGCTGGTAGATTCAATTATTTGACATCTTTCGCTAAAAAATAATAGAATTTATTTATTTATTATTTATATATTAATTATATATAAATGTTATACTTTTTACAACATATCCCACAACGAGCAGCTTTTGTTGTCGTCTCTTGTAACTTTTGATCCTTTTTTCGACATAATTTTTTACAATATTTTGTTCGTTCATGTTCGCCGCTACGATTCTCTCGTGCATGATCAGAGGAATATTTGATGCATGCCTTTCCATGAATTTTACATGAATCTTTTCGTGATTTTTGAGTACTGTAAAATTCAAAATAAAACTTGGTAGAGAAATATGAAAGGTAAAAATGTTTAGAAATAATATAAGAGATATCACAGAAATAATTTGAATAACTTACTTCGCGTATTTATTCAAAGGACATTTCGGATCAGTACATATTTTTGGCATTTTTTATTTCCTCGAGAAAAATATCGTACGTATTTTGACGATCTAAATGGTCTGATCAATAATATTTAATATAAGTAAAATGATTATTAAATAAACATTAATCACGATGATCGAATTGTACTTACATTGGATATACATTATTTGTCGCATATTGCAAAAAAATTTCCAAATTTTTAACATTTTTCTTGAATTACAAATTAGAATGAATAATTAATCAATTGAAATCAACGTACATCTTATCAGTTTCAATTTTTAATCGAATATATCATCCTCAAATTACATGTTTTGTTGTTCGTGCAAGAAAATAATTAAGAATTCATTCTCATTTTACAAATATAAATTCTGTTTTATTATTGTTTCAATTTTAATTTAAAAAATGATCGTCTAACCTATGTGTGTGTGCCGTGTTTTGTAAAAATTTGACAGTTCGTTTTATCATGACCAATAATATCGTATCGATTTTTTCACAACATTCATGAGAAAATATGTGTGACCAATAATAATATAAAACAAGAACGCGTGGAAACTTAGGATGAGAAAAAGAGGTGTGTGTAAGGTGGTGTAAGATGAAAAAGAAAAGAAGAAAAAAAGAAAATACGAAAAAAACACAGCTTCGAACATCTTCCTGTTAGAGTAGTTTGTTAAATTGGACGTATGTATGTGTGTAGGACGGAAAACAAGCAAGAGTATCGACGCCAGACTGGCGGCCATTAGTTGCGGCCTTGCCATCGGCAATTTATTCACCAACCGGAATATCTTTCCAGCCGTTCGGCAAACCTCTTTCATTCCGGAGCACGATCCTCAGAATCTCGTGAATTTGTTCTGTACAAAAATCAGAATTTATTTTGACAAAAGTGAAACCAGTCAACAATAGTTGTGACAGATTTCTCATTTGCAATACTTGTATTCAAACAAGGATACATTTCTTTTCAATTTAGATATTTATCTTTTCATTTTATTGTTTAACATATTATGAAAATATACAATAGATTTATAACAAATTTAATTCTAAAGAAAGATTGCGGTATTATAGATAAATGTAGTCTTTTCGTTCGTATCCTAGGGATAATGTATTGAGTTGTCCGGAAAATTCGTGCTGATTTTCGATAGATGGCATTTTGCTAAAAAACCTGAAAAGTTGTGGAAGTACGAAATTTTTAAGTTATTATAATTTTATAATAACTTTATTATATTATATTATTATATTATATATTATATTTATATATTTATTATTATATTATATTATATTTATTATATTTATAACTTTATTATTTATTTTATACAATTTTTAAATTCTTTTGCTAAAAAACCTGAAAAGTTCTAGAAGTACGAAATTTTTAAGTTATTGTAATTTTATAATAACTTTATTATACTATATTATTATATTATATTATATTTATATATTTATTATTATATTATATTATATTTATTATATTTATAACTTTATTATTTATTTTATATAATTTTAAAATTCTTTTGTGCTAAAAAACCTGAAAAGTTTTGGAAGCATGAAATTTTAAAGCTATGATATTATTATATTTATTATTTATTGTTATATATTATTATATTATTTTTATAATTATATATATATATATATATATATATATATATATATATATATATTTTACAAACAACAAAAACTTAAATGGGTTGCATCTTCCATCTTCCGTCAAAATCGGCACGAACTTTCAGGACACAACCCAATATAACAGTATTGGTGAAAACAAAAAACGGGTAGTTTAGATCCACTCGAAAATGTGGTGGGCACTCGTGCCTAAAAGCACTTGGATCGGTATGCGGATCGATTACATAAAAAGAAACGTGGCGCGAATTAATGGTAGGACACGAAGCTGTTCTGTTGCGATACGAGAAGAGGAAAGCAGAACAAAAAAAAAAAGAATCTCTTTAAGTGGGGTGTAGAGAAAAATAAGAGAGGAGTATTATTCGAGAGTAGAAGCAGAGTGGAACCGTAAGGCAACCTTTTTTTTTTTTACATTGTTCTTCTGACTAGTTTCTTTTTTCTTTTTATGTTTTATCATTTGACAGGATATGTGACGTGTTTCTTTTCTTCTGTGGAATTTGGTAGAAAAAGAAAAAGTGTTTTGTATAATATACACGTCTGTTTTATTCTATTTTGAACATTTTCAATGTATGTGTAAAGCAAACTTCTTACTAAGAGACCATTGTTTTGTTTCTCCCAATTTATTATTACAACTTGAGTCAGATATATTTCTCGTCGTCTCGATTATTTTCGATTATTGTCATCGTTATTCTTTAGAATTTTCTTTTCAACGTAGATTTCCTCATCATTTTTCAGTATTCTTTTACCGCTTTGGGCACCCTCCGGGTAAACGATCTCGGGTAAAAGACAAGTAGCGGCAAGATTCTTGATCTTCTTTTACCCTCATCACAGTTTCCTCGGTCTTCCTTCTTTTTTTTTATCTTCCCTTTTTCTCTTCTTCCTCTTCCTATTGCTCGACGACGGACATATTTTATGGATGGTCGTCTAGAGCTCTCACGGCGCCAACTCTCTCGTGGATGCATCGAATACTTGCATCTCTCCTAACGGGAGGAGTGGAGAAGGGGGAATTTCAATGATGACAATGAAGTCTTCGTCGATAAAATATTACCTTTCAAAATTGACTCGTATAAATAATTATTTTGTTGAAACTGAACAAATCAAAGATTCGTTTGTTATTGACTTGTCCTGAAAGTTCGTGCCGATTTCGGCGGAAGATAGAAGATGCAACCCATTTATGTTTTTTTTTTGTTATATATTATTATATTATTTTTATAATTATATATGTTAATAATTATATAAATATATATAATTATAAACACAATATAATAATATATAATAATAAATAATAAATATAATAATATAATAACTTTAAAATTTTGTACTTCCAGAACTTTTCAGGTTTTTTAGCAAAAGAACTTAAAAATTATATAAAATAAATAATATAATATAATAAATGTAATATAATATAATATAATAATAAATATGTTAATATAATATAATATAATAAAGTTATTATAAAATTATAATAACTTAAAAATTTCGTACTTTTAGAACTTTTCAGGTTTTTTAGCAAAAAAACTAAAATTCTATAAAATAAATAATATAATATAATATAATAAAGTTAAATATAATAAATGTAATATAATATAATAATAAATACATAAATATAATATAATATAATAATATAATATTTATAATTATATTATATAATATAATATTATAAAATTATAATAACTTAACAATTTCGTACTTTTAGAACTTTTCAGGTTTTTTTTAGCAAAATGCCATCTATCGAAAATTGGCACGAACTTTCCGGACAACCCAATAGTTAAATGGGATCGTGTATTTTTTTTTGTCAACAAAACACGTGTTGAAATTCTTCACGAGATAATAGTTAAGTATGTACTCGTATCAAATATAAGATACTTCTAAGAAGTCGTAACCACTAATGTGTGTTATCTCCATTTCACTCGAGTTAACTCTCAACAAATGGCAAGTGTGTCGTTTGGTTGCATCGACGAAGAAATACATCCGGAGGTTGTTGGTTGATTGATTCTTCAGTGCAGTTATATGGGACATAGACAAAACATGGAAGGATAAGATCTTTGATAAAGTTTATATACGAATTTACAATAAAAGAAAAGCTTTTAGTATATCTTATTGTTAAAAATGTTTTAGTATAAGAATACTTTTATCAACAATCTTAGAAACTATTATAGTACTTTAAGAATAATCTATAGATATTACAAAAGACCTTGCAATCTTGGCTCTTGTAATGCATATAAGCTTTATCAAGGTAAAAACACGTAGCTATCTCGAAGCAAAGAGAGTCGGCATTTTAAAATAAGTAGAAGCAAAGAGGAATTTTCTCAGAGAGAAATGAAATTACACAAAGACGGAAGCTATACGATGATTTACGATTAATGTCTGTCTGTCTGTCTGTTTGTCTCGTTTAATCGAACCCACAGGTTACTTAATAACGTAGTCGGAGATTGTGAAACGATCGAGAAATTTTTTTGTGGGTCACCATTATCTTACATCATTTTACTGAATAGATTATACTTTTGATAAATACCATAAAACATTTCGTTAGATGACGTAGACGACGGAATTCGTTGGTAACGATGTGAAAATGAATTTCTCTGACTCATCGTGTCCACATGATGTAAATCTTGCTTTACCTTTTGCTTATCGTTAATTATAAACAGGTGTTATAACGGATTCCCCCGTGTTTTATTTTTCTTTTAACAGAAAACAATTGTGTTATGGCAGATATATAGGTATGAAACGTACAGTTTTCTCTTCTTCTTGAGTTGAAAGAAATAAAGGAAGAAGAAAAAGGAATGTAATGGGCCGAGAAATCCTTGAAAGGACCGGTTGACGTGACCGGTCCACTATTTTTAACTGGATCCTTTTGTTTCACTGCCTCGTCACTTCCCTTTTACGTTCGGCCTTGCACTTGATTCGACGATGTCGCTGCTCTTATAACTTGATTTAGATGATCGATTCTTCCGTATACTTTTCATACCCTTTACTCATCTCTTCCTTCCTTCCTTTCTATTTCTCTTTCTCTTTCTCTTTTTCGTCGCAATGTCGTCACGAATGATGACATCATTCTGAGAAGGTTACTTTTAAATTTCAGGTTGAACGTGTTCTGGTAAAATGAAAAAGAGAAGGAAAAAGAAGATTCTATGAAAGGAATTTGTCATTTGCAAGACAATTTTTTGGACGTGTCCTTCTTTCGTAATTTTTGCCGATTCAGAAATAAATTTATATATCGTTCGAAAAAATCAATTAATTTTAAACGAATTTCATTTCCATATAAAGATTGTCATAAATTCAAAAAATAGAACATTGAATTGGATAAATAATAAATGATTTTTCTTTGATTTCAAGGAATAGCGCAAAAAAAAAATGTATAACAAAAACTGTCAATCATAAAAAGACATTTGCATGGATTCATTATTCAGTTCGCGATCGATATTAAATTCAAAATATGGCGCGTATGGCCTAGCAGGGTTGATAGTAGGCGTTCGGGAATAGCCGTCGGCGTTCGGTAGTGTTCGGGCGTAGCTACACCGCCCGGTACCGTCAGTCTCGCGCACGACTTCGAGGTGGGTGAACGTGTCGTTCTTGAACTGTCACTTTGATTTTTCGACGGGTAAAAAAATCGATCGTATTAGGGTAATTTCGCCGACGCCCCCCTCTTCCCCTCTCGTCTACATACCCATTATAAACGTTTATACGAGAAATTTGATTAATCGACAAGTATCGATAAATATAACCATAAATCTTTCGTGATACATGATTAACGCGATATATACACGCGAATTTGAGTGTGCGTATTATTAGTGAATACATTTTAGTTTATTTTCTTTTCTTCTTCTTCTTCTTCTTCTTCTTCTTCTTCTTCTGTGTTCATTGTTTAAATCGATCGTTTGGAGCATAGTATTTTCGATTGAATTTATTATGTTACTACCGAACGCATGTGCAATCGTCACATTATTTTGACCGAAGGAGAATTCGTGCACGAGAACGGAACGAAAGCTGCAAAATGTTACCACAGACTCCTGACATCATTCCCACCACTCTTAATCAGGTATGTACCAATATGTTGTTCATGTAATTATATGTATATATATATGCTTTAATCGTAATAAATGACTTCGGAATAAAATGAGGTTATCTTTCAAAAACGAGAGACAATTAGCAACGACTCGTTAAAATGATATATAT